ACGTGACAGAGGTATATTTAGTATGAGATAAATTTATTTTAAATAAATCATGGCATTTTTTGTTTGGCATATTTTCATAAATTAAGTTTTTTTCTTCTTCTTGTACTAGGGTATATACACTCTGGCTTGTTTGTGAGTGAAGAACTTTGTTCCAGGTCTCCCCTTATGTTAGCAGCTGATATAAGAGAAATAACTTGGCAAAATCAAATCATTAAAAAAGCTAAAGCAAAAAGATAAGAGGCTTTAAATTCCTAGGAGCATAGAACGGACCAAAACACTGATGATATGACTATTCACAGCTGATTTGATTCAATACTAACGTCATAACATTTTTTTTTTATTAAATGTAATTAATTTGTAATAAATCAGGCGGGAATCCAGTGTTTTTATCTCTCGCTCTGTCAGTTCCAGCATGAAGCCCAGGAGGCGTCTGACCTCTGTGGATCTTCTCCCTACGATTCTCGAGCTCCAGGAGAGCCAGAGTCTGGATGACTACATAGACTCCATACGAGAGCTGTCCCAACCCACCTACCCTCTCAGCGGACCCCTCCGGGGCTCCCGTCTGTCCCCGCTGCGCATGGCCAAACACCCCAGCGTGTCTTTGGCCACCACAGGTTCAGTCCTGGCACACAAGCCCTAGGCTCTCTCTGGACCTGACAATGTATCACTACCCTTGACAGACTTGAAGGGCCCGGCGAGTTCAAATCAGGACCCTCTGGACTGGCTCTTTGCACAAGTGCAGACCGACCCGGAAGACGTGTGCATGATGGAGACAAAAATGATGAGAACTCACAGCCTCGGGAATATGTTGCAATAATCATAAAAGTTGCAATTAATTGTCTTATTTTCAGTGTATTAAATAGTGTGATTTTTGAGATAGGAATTAGGGGCTAGTTGTCACACGGGCTAAAAAATTGGTTTCATGAATATAAGGGACTATATTAATCATAGTATCTGTTATCCAAATGAATGGACATTTCTGTTTTTGTTGTTTCATGAATTCAAAGTTTGAAGCTTGGGGTTAGAAATATTTCTTGAAAGAAATGAATACTTCTATTCAGCAAAGATGCATTAAATTGATCAAAAATGATAGAAAAGACATTTATGATGTTATAAAATATTTCTGTTTCAAATAAATAGTTGTTTTGAATTTCTATTCATCAAATATTCCTGAGAAAAAAAGTGTCCTGCTTTCCTCAAAAACATTAAGCAGCACAACATTAATAACACTAAGAAATGTTTGTTGAGCAGCAAATCAGCATATTAGAATGATTTCTGAAGGATCATGTGACACTGAATACTGAAGTAATGATTAAATGCTTTGCATCACAGGAATAAATGATATTTAAAATATATTAAAATAGAAAACGGTGATTTTAAATTGCATTTGTGGTCAAACAAATACAGCCTTGCAAGAGATTTTAAAAAACCTTATCCATCAAAACTTCGGTTTGTGTACATTCTTTGTCTTACATATTTGCAGTTTTTCTGTTTAAATTTTGCTATTTAATATTATGTTTAACAAATGTTGAATGAACTGAAGACTATATTGATGCAAGTAAAAAAAAACAAAAAAAACAAAAAAACAATTTCAGCTTTGCATTAAAAGACTATGCACTAAACGGACTAAACACAACAACAGAAGAAAGCAATTACATGTCAGCATGCTCTAATAAACAAAAACGAGTTAGGTTTCGTTTTCCTCTAAGTCACTGTGGTTCTCAGACACACTGGACATGATTTATCTAACCAAAAAAGAATGTTGTCTTGCTGCCAAACAGCTTTACACAACTTGCACAAAACTTCTGGACCGAATCACTGCAACACACACTTCAAATACTCTATCAAGAGCTAAAAGCTCTGAGTTTGCATAAAGGTAATGTAAACATAACTTATTTTTTCTTAGAAAAGGTTTTCTAAAGTAAATACAGCAGGCTATCATAGAGCTCAAAGGTCAAAGAGAGCATTAAGACAGCCAAGATATTTCGCAATCCGGTGCTTTCTGACGAGCTGTGCTCCAAAAAGCTCCAAAAAAGGAAAAAAAGAGCGAAAAACTTAACCTAACTAAATACAAAACATTTAGCTGCAAACATGTCTATCTGGTCTCATTTTTGCAAAGTTTTTATTTTCTCAGCCGATCTGTGTCTCTGTTTGGCTTTTCTGGAGCTCTACTTCAATGGTAAGGGGATTTCTGGGCCGCACAACAAAAACCAGTTTGCATACTGGACGAATGAGTTGATGACAACTTCTTCAGTGTGTCTGAAAAATGGCATCCTTCCCAGTTCCTGATTTTGATGTGGCAATGGTATATCCTCCTTTTCCGTCTAAGTTTTGGGAATCTTGTTCTTGTTAAATTACTGGCAATTTTAAATATTTGCTCATTTCAGAGTGCCTCTGCACAACTGTAGGACTATTTAAATTGACTGATGTGTCTGCACCAAGTCTCTTTATGCAATAAAGTGAGCTATGTGGTTTTTTACCTTTTTTTAATTTTACAGGCACTTATTTAAAGCTAAATAAAACCATCTAACTTAACAGATCACTTAATGGGTTTAAACCTTACAAACTTTCCCGCGCAAATTCAGATCTTTAACCACCATGCCACACCACCACAAATGCTGCAATGGGAAATTCCTGCACCAGTGTATCAGTGTACATAAAGGGATTTTTTTACTATAATTTGAAATATATGTTTTCTATTTTAATATATTTTAAGATGCATTTTATTCCTGTGATGCAAGGCTGAATTTTCAGCATCATTACTCTAGTCTTCAGTGTCACATGATCCTTCAGAAATCATTCTAATATGCTGATTTGCTGCTCAAGAAACATTTCTTATTATTATCAATGTTGAAAACAGTTTGCTATGTAATTTTGTTTTTAGTGGAAACTGTGTTACTTTTTCCCGGATACTTTGATGAATAAACACAAAAAATAATATATTTGTAGGCTATCTATCTGTCTTTATATACTGTATACATCAGGGGAGTTTCCTCTGAGGATGCAAGGGAGGCAGTGCCTCCTCAAAAAGAAAAAAGTTTGCAAAACAAAAATAAACAACGGCAATATTACAAAATATAACATTAAAAAGTGTTTTTTTCAATTATAATTTTCAATTACTTTTTCACATAGTGCCAGGCAGGTTTGGACAGCTTTTTTCCCTTAATAAATTAAATCATTATTTCAAAACTGCATTTTGTATTTACTCCGGTTATCTTTGTGTAATATTAAAATTAGTTTGACCTGAATCATTCAAGTGTGACAAACATGCAAAAAAACAAACAAAAAAACAGGAAGGGGGCAAAAACCATTTATTAAAATACTAAAATAGTATTAAATCTATCTATCTAGTAACATTTTACATGTCTTTACAGTCACTTTTAATCAATCAATTGATTAATCGGTTTAATGCAATTTGCTAAATAAAAGTAATTCTATCAAAAAAGAAATTGAACCGTAGCGTAATTATACAGAGAGATGAAATGCAAGGAAAAAATAAATACAAAACAATAAATACAAAGGATACAAAGGATATACAAAATCATAAATAACAATTAACAATTGAAAAGTGGTATACGGACTTAAGTGACAATTGCAGCAATTAAGGACAACATGCGCCTCCTCTTCGCATTTCTGTCTCTTACTTCATCCACAAAAATGTGAAAATAGGTCAAAACAACTGACTCATGCTTTCTCATAGAGGCTTAAACCTGGCGATATAGCCATCTCTGTTGGGCGTCGCCACCAACATTCTTCACTGTTTCTCTCAGAGAAGAGACAGTTTGCCCCCCCCCCCCCAACCCCCCAAAAAAGTGTAATTTTATTTATTCACCCTCATGTCGTTCCAAACCTGAATGACTTTCTTTCTTCCGTGGAACATAAAAGGTGATATTCTGAGAAATGTCACAGTTTTTTTCCCCCTGTATAATGACAATAAATGCATCAGAAACTACTTGGTAAGTAAGATAAATTTCCTACTTGGTATGGTTTGTTCAAATTTATTTATTTATTTTTTGTATTGACACAAGGATGATTACATTCGTTTTTGGGGTAATTGTCCCTTCAATTCACAATTTAAAATGGTATTAACTAAGTTAACTACCATTATGTTAGCAAAGCCTGTCTAGGGTCCAAGATCTAGTAAGCCAATGATACCGAAACATAATGATGATAATAAAGAAATAAAGATTTACAAAACTGATTCAGGACTAAATGTATCCCTATAGGCTTTGTGCATTTTGCATTTAATGAAACCGGGGAAATGACACAAAATCCCATGAAAATAGGGCATAAGTCAGACTTCAGACTTCTGTCAGACTTTATGATTTTGAGGTCTATCTGCCTCAACATGTCAGACAGTAGCAGTGGTTGCATGTTCTGACGCTGATATGCATCATTGCGCTGCTGAATGTTAACCGCTTGGATGTTGAGTGACTGGTTTTGGCAAGATGCGCACAATAGAAGTGATCCAGGGGGAATATACTTTCTTATCTCTAAGAAACACTATGAGTCAAATGTTTTGACTGGGTTTGTTTGCAATATCTAAAAATCCTTTTGATTTAAAAAGGGCTGTGTGCAAATACTTGCAATAGATTAGATTTCATATATTTTGAGTTTAACTAAATGTATGATGCATGTAATATGTATAAAAATGTTTTAAGGGAAACTTTTTTTTGACTTGGACCAAAAATACAGCATACATAACTATATAACACATTTTCACACAGAGCTATTGTGTAAATATATAATCAATAATTTGGTCAAATCTAACTTTTTAAGTCAACATGTGCAGTCAGCAATTTATTTCTAACCTGCATCTCTTTGGAATTATTTTGTTCACTTATTTCTCTCACTTTCCCTTCTTTTCCCCCTTTTCTGTCTCACTTACACTCCCTCCCTTTATCCCTTAAATTTGGAAATTCCGGAGTAGCAAACGGCATGATTGCTGGGAAATGTTGTGGGTCTGGGAATTCCTCTCGTGCCCTATAAAAGACAGAGAAGAGGCTTTACTCCTCACACTTTCACTACAGCTCCACTAGGACTTACTACTTTCTCTGAAAGCTCAGCAAACCACTGCAGCTGATCTCTTTGTGTTTCTTACCTATTTATTACACTAGCAAGTTAGTTATGGCATTTTTACCCAGAGCCCATCTTCTGCTGCTGCTTGCAGTAGTTTGTATTCAACTGAGTGGAGGTAAGACATTAATGACACTTTAATATAGCTTTTTATAGTCAGGTATTGCAGGAATTTGGTGTTTTTTTATGCTTTTTTGGCATGATGCAGAGAGTTTTTTATGCAGAATTACTATCTTCTGTCAGAATCATGCATTTTAAATGAATCTTTCTATGCCTTTCTATGTTAACAGTCCTAGCTGATGGACCTGACAGGTGCTGGTGTTTGAACAGTTTGAAGAAACGTGTCCCAAGAGAAGAAATTGAAGAATTCTCTATTTTCCCCCGAAGATCAAAGTGTGACAACGTTGAAATCATGTAAGTGTCAATCTCTTAACCTGCATATAATAAAATGCTACATATTATATTTATAGTGACATCCTTAGACACTATAACTTTGTAAACTGGCTGTATATATATATATATATATATATATATACACACAGTATAAAACTTAAGGTTTAATCTTTAAGTATAAATCTGTATGTAAACTTTTTTGCATGAAATCCTATAAGCTAGACTGAATCTTATTAATTTGATGCATTTTTAATGTCTGCAGATTGACACTAAAACCTGTGAATAACTCAACTGAAGTCGTCCAGCGCTGCTTGAGTCCAGAAACAAAACAAGGAATTAACCTGCAGGCTTGCTGGAACAAGTACGGACATTTTATTATGTCACTTGCATTTCTCAGTCAGTAATAATGAACTAATACTAAACAACATCAGCCACAAATCTAATATGATGGTATACATAAAAATAACTATACATTTTACTAAGGATAAGAATCAATTAGTTAGTAGTAATTAGTATGCACTTGTATCCACAAAATAAATTGTTTATGCATAGTATATATTAGGCATTCGATTAATGTGTGCACTTTTTTTTGTTTAATTTGCAACAGGAAGAACACCAACAACACTTCCCCATTTAAGATATCCAACTGCTTCTAAAGCCATAAATGAAAGTGCAGAAGAGCACAGGAGGACAGAAGGGGGGATCTGGAAACTCTAGAAACCCTGTAAGTGGAATGTCTGTCACATGACCCCGCACTGGCCAATCAGAATCCTGGGTTTTGAGTGTTGGCCTCATGCAGCTGATGGGAAATCACAGAAGACCTGAAAACACCCGGAGCACTGCCAGTAACCGCCGGACGCAGATGTTATCGGCAAAAGCATTTGGATTAGAATTCTCTTGCTGTATGACTGAAGCACTGAATGTATCATTACTCCAAACAGTATTTAAATGACTATATTTAAATGGTTTTATAATTTAACTTATTTTATAATGTCAAAAGTTAAAATGTGTTTGACTATTTTTGTCTGACAAGGCCCTTTAATGTCATATGTGATGTGTTAGAACTGACTGAGTCACATTACAATGTTTCTTTGACATGACATTTTATAACACGTGAAATACATTTTGAGGCTACCAAACAAAATATTTTCATAATGGAAGCTACTTTATACAATTTTGCAATAAAAGCCAATTTCAAGTTAGTCTGCACATTTATTGTCCAAATCCATTATATTTTCCTCTTGATATGAGAATGTGCGTATGATTAATTGTATAGGAAACATGTAGCAGTATTGCATAGATAATAGACGTGGAGGAAGATCAGAGATTTTATCCTTCTGAAGTATCTTCACACTATTTGCAGACTATTATGTGTAGATTTTACACGAGCCCCATCTACTGGTCATGTCTATAAATGTACACTCAAAATGCCTAGGTGTTAGTTTGACGATTGACAAAATAATTATTTAGCAGATGCGTTTATCCAAGTGTCTTGCTTAAGGGTGTGTGGTTCAAACCTTTTCGGCTTCCAGCCCAGACCTTTAACCACTATGTCAATTAATTGAATTAAAAATGTGTTAAAATAGATACTGAGTAAAAATTCAAGAAAACACAATTTCACATCATCACACATATACAGCTCATTATATTTACACGCTGTTAGACAACAGAATGAAATAAGCAGGGGGAAATACTTTGCTTTTTTATTTTAAAGGGGTCATATGATGCGATTTCAAGTTTTCCTTTCTCTTTGAAGTGTTACAAGCTGATTGTGCATAGATAAGATCCCTGAAGTTGCAAAGACTAAAGTCTCAAAACCAAAGAGATATTCTTTATCAAAGTTAAGACTCTGCCACGCCCCCCTAAAACGGCTCGTTCTAACACGCCCCCACATATCTAGGTCACTATGTGGGAATATTTGCATAATGCGCCCAAATGTGCACGCAAAGAAAGAAGGCGTGGTTTCAGTAACCGCAGTTAGTGTTGAAGCAGCCATGTCAGGGAGACGCTGTGTGTTTCTAGGTGAAAGCAAAAGCACTTTATTTGGCCTTCCGAAAGTAGATGCATTTAGGAATCTTGTCATTCATGTGCAAGCAGAAAATATATATAAGTAATAAAATATTTTTTAAAGACGTTTTCGTTTTGCTTTCATCCTGTTATGCCATCATTCATTTGATCATATATTGTCACTGTCAATACTGTTGTAAAGGGCAGCGGAGCACGTCTTTGCACAGAGGACGTAAACTTGACCGAAAGGTGTGTGTGTGTGTGTGTTCTCCTTTCCCTCCTCTCAGGGGAAATCAAAGCTTTTCTTGGAGTTTAACTAAGAGGGTGTGGAGAGAAGAATAGATCCTCAATAAATTTCCACACTGTCAGTCCAGTTAACGCTTTGTCTCCTTCTGTCTCTTTCCTTTAATTAATATCTCCTCAGAGAAGCAGCAAAATTAAGTTTTGGGCCTGAACTCAAAACAGGGATGGCTTGAGGCTTGAGTAGAGTTGTATAAATAAAATGAACCCCAAACCTAAGCCATGTATTATTTAGATTAAAATAAATAAATAAATAAAAAATCCACAATTATTCCGCAAAATAACAAAAAAACGAATAAATAAATAAAAAATAAAAATGGGCTGATTTGTACATTATATTTTGCATTATTTCCCCAAAATTATTTCCTTAAAGGGGCCATCGGATGCAAAATTCACTTTTCAAATTTGAACATAAATGTATGTTGGAAGTGTGTGTACACATCCATCCTATAACTATAAAAATCTATCCAGTTTTTTTTTTTAAATCCCTATTTTAAAATCCCCTTTCTCAAACCAGGCTGTTCTGAGATTCCTGTTCCTGAGCCTGGAACAAATTCTCCATGGAGAGCCACCCCAAAATGTGGAGTTTTGTTCTCAGGTCCAGCACATACTGAATTTCATTTTTGCTGTCCGAAGGTCCGTCCTCCCAAGTTTCTCGTAGGACGAAAAATGGGCTGATTTGTACATTATATTTTGCATTATTTCCCCAAAATTATTTCCTTAAAGGGGCCATCGGATGCAAAATTCACTTTTCAAATTTGAACATAAATGTATGTTGGAAGTGTGTGTACACATCCATCCTATAACTATAAAAATCTATCCAGTTTTTTTTTTTAAATCCCTATTTTAAAATCCCCTTTCTCAAACCAGGCTGTTCTGAGATTCCTGTCAGAATGACGTAGTTCTGTACAGGCCCCTCCCACAATAGTTTGATTGACAGTAGTGTTTCAGCACAGACTGGACCGGTGTCTTACCTTAGACCATCAGTCCGCCATTGTGTTGACTCTGGTGCAGGGGAAGACAAGATGTCTCCGATTACTTTCGCTTTGAAGTGAATGCGCCACTCCCGATCAGCTTAAATGCCTCTATGTTTGCTCAAATCATTCATGATCCAGCCTCATCTACAGAAGAAGTGAGTATAAGGGTTTTTTATGAATCTTTGCAAATCACCTTTCCTAATAATGCGCTAATTATTAAGTTTCATGATGAATGCGGCTAAAGTAAATTTTGGGGTGGCCGGTGGGTTCACCAGCTGACATTCCCGACAAGACGCGCACCACCTGCGCACATTCTCGTGAATGCCCGGCCAGAAAAATCGGGTCATTAGCCGATTTAGTGTTGCGGCTTGCCCCAAATGTCCGGCCATCGGATTACAGTGAGCCGCCTGGAAAAGCATTTCCCGGCGGCTTTTTGGTACTAACAATTGGGTTGTATCCTGCTTTGACTGAGTGTCTTGGGTCACTCGATACAACCGGTCTTTTAAAATAGCAAAATACGGATAGGAGAGTGGTCGAGCGGGTTGGAGAAGCTGTCCGTCGATGGAGCGGACCTGCTCGAATGCATTTTTGAGCGACTCATCCTGGGACTGCTCCAGGGGAAAATCATCGCCCTTCGCGAGGGTACCCCTGTGCAAAATGAGCATCCGATGACCCCTTTAAAGGCACAATATGTAAGATTTTTTAATTAAAATATGCAAAAACCACTAGAACAGTGTATATATTTTGCTGACTTGTGTACTTACATTATCCCAAATGTTTCGAAGAATGTTTAAATCCAGAGAAATAAGCTATTTTCACTAGTGACACGGGCCGTGTCTATAGTGTCATTGTGTCGCCTGCTAATGACGTCATAACCCCTCTATTTCCGGTTTTGTTTTGTAGAAAACATGGAAAAACCAAAGACGCTTTAATATGTTGTGCGTTTTAATAGACTGGTGACGACCGCACAGAGTAGCATTATAACGGAACTTGGTTGGGGTGTGGGGAGGGGCGAGGTCGTGGTTAGAACGCTTGGTCCACCTGCGCTTCCCCGGACAGCAGGGAAATGAGCCGCACTGGCCAGTCCTCCTCAGGCCACCCCCCGGCCTCTGCCGACCCAGAGGTCCAGGAACACCTCTGGGTCGTCCTGGGGCCCCATCTTGTGGAGAGGCACATGGGGGGGTGGTGCTGGGGCAGATGTCGGTCCCCCAGCCCAGCATCAGACAAGACGACAAAGAAGAAGAAGTGCTGCTGTAGCTTCTAGTTTATCGCAAGTTATTACACATGCACCTGAAAAATTATGTATGTAAATATGTATGTTATAATTATGAAAACGTTTTTATAATAAATTGCTGACAGTACAATACTGGACAATAATGTAATCTGCAGAATTTACACTTCAATTATGAGACTACAGTGTTTCCCATACATTGAGTTCGGGTGTTTTTATATCACTGTATTTCTGAAGGAAACCGACTATCTTCAGAAAATTGGACGTTGTAACAAAGGTTCAGGAGGGTGGAAGGAAGAAGACAGGGTCGGCTTGCTGGGACGCGAGCTTTATTTAAATTCCTTCCGACACTGTACACACCACGGCGCTCACCCAGCGCTGTCAGCTTCACAGTCAATAACTCATAACAAACAGAACGCAACTTGTTTCCGTGTATCTACACCCGTCTCCGCGGGTCGCTCGCGTACCCAGTCTGTCTCTCCCCATCCTGTTCCAGGTGGCCCCTTTTATCCGGTCTCTCCAC